CATGTGCTTAGGAACACTAATTAAGACATATTACGTATTAGTCTTGTATATTGCTATAACTATTCATAGAGAATTGTACATATTTGAATCAGATAATTGATTTGTGTTGTCACAACGTTGTCGGTTATTTTGAAAAGAAAAAAGAAAGAAAAAGAAAGACCGAATGGTGCTAATCACCTCCATTAATGTCAGACAAATACGGTTGCCTGTGGCCAGGCGTCCAGAAATATGTGCCGGAGCCAGGCAACCAACGCTAATTACTACCAGGCCAGGCAACATGATCGAAGTTCAGGGTTACAACCGCCTTGTTTAGATTTTAAGTTTTTTCACTCTTTCTCCATCACATCAAATCTTTGACATATACATAGAGTATTAAATATAGATAAAAAAATAACTAATTACACAGTTTGATTGTAAATTACGAGACAAATCTTTTGAGCCTAGTTAAGCCATGATTAGACAATAATTGTCAAATACAAACGAAAATGCTACAATGTCAAATACTGATTCCTAACCACGAACTAAACAAGGCCAAGGTACAGGCACATCACAGGCAGCGTCCAGTCCAGACAGCTATTCTCCAGGGCAGCATCCAAACATGCCCTACTTCCGTGCCTGGCCATTGCTCCAGCGCTCATGCAGAGCTCCACCATCCGCTGGATTTTTTTATCAATTTTCTATTAGCATCTAGGCTACCAGTGGACGGAAAGTGACAGGATAACGGATGATTGTCCTAGAGTGGAGCTATAACGTCAAACATTTTTGACAAGTTTTAAGGCCCCCTTTGGTAGGGCGTCTTCATCGGCTTCAGGAGCCGTTTGGAGCCGTTTTCTATCAAACAGGGTAAAGTAAGGTCCCATTTGGCATGGCTTCACTTCACTAGTGAAGCCAGTTTTTTTTTTGCTTCAGCTCCACGAACAGTTCCACCGGTGGAGCTGAAGCGGTTTTGGTAAACCATTTGGCAAAATGGCTTTCCTGTGAGAGCATGTTTTTAGGGGGCCTGGAGGAGGAGCCGGGAGAAGCCACTTTTTTGGCTCCATCCCACCCCAAATCACTGTGAGAGCATGTTTTAGGGGCTTCACAAGTGAAGCTATTTTACTTTACCCCATTTGGTAGAAAACGGCTCCAAACGGCTCCTGAAGCCGGTGAAGAAGCCCTGCCAAACGGGGCCTAAAATAGCTTCATTTGTAAAGCCCCTAAAAATATGCTCTCACAGTGATTTTGGGTGGGATGGAGCTAAAAAAAAGTGGCTTCTCCCATCTCCTCCTGCAGGCCCCTAAAAACATGCTCTCACAGGGAAACCATTTTGCCAAACGGTTTACCAAAACCGCTTCAGCTCCACCGGTGGAACTGTTCGTGGAGCTGAAGAAAAAAAAATGACTTCACTAGTGAAGTGAAGCCCTGCCAAACGGGACCTAAGTCTAGAACGCCAATAATTATGGGACGGAGGAAGTAGATTGCTTAAATATACACACTCTTACACCAAAATGACATGTTGAAAGCTAGCTTGCATGCTCTGGAAAAAAAAGATTGCTCATGAAGAATTACTTTATATATAATATCTAACTATTTTATGTAGGAAGACACGGCTAGTGCCTAGTCTAAGTGCAATATATAGTAGACACAGTAAAGGTGATCCGTCAAATAACGTGGATAACTAGTTTCTATCGTAACTATTGGGGTTTTCTTTATTTACTTCAAAATACTTTTTGAAATAGATTTATATTTATTTGTTTGATTGTGATTGTCCTCTCTGTATTAATTAACATGAACTACATACAAACCAATTACTTAGAGCAAGGCTAATAATACATCATGTTGCTGACTATATGAACCTTTGCAACCCATCTCTCATCAGCCCATCCATACAGTAGTTTTCCCTTTATGATTAATACATTGCTCACTTTCTTCTCTTAGAATTTTTTTGGTTTCTGTGCATAAACTGGCCGTAAGTTTACAACCCCTTTTCCTTCTCTCTCCTCTTCTCTTTTCTTCACCTCAGTTTTCAACCAACTTATAGCCTGTTATTTTACTTGCTCTTAGATTACAGCTATTATGGTCTTCATATATCCTCTCTTTTTTTGTCTGGTCCATGTCTATGGTTTGTGCGACTTCTGCTAAGACCAAATCAAGATAGCCTTTAGTTCTATTTTAGTGAGATCCATTCTTCAATAACTATCCAAATCTCTTACAAATTATTTAGTTACTTGGTTATAGTTTAAATTTTGGATCATACCTTTTCTTGTGCACCCATAGTTGTCGACGAGATATCGTCGATAGTCCACCGAGGGGTATACCCACGATGATAGATTGTGTGGGGAGGTGTGCATGATCAAGAACTAGATGGCAACAGACACAAGATTTAGACAGGTTCAAGCCATCAAGACGACGCAAAACCCTACGTTATGTGTTCTATTGGTTTGTATTGATGAGATGTAACCCTAGGCTAAGCCTAGGATTTGTATTTGGATGCCGACTAGGGGACCCCTGCCCCTCATTATATACTCTGGCGGGGTAGGGCTACAAGAAAAGTATCCTAATCGGCTATATGGTAGGTATTCTATTTGGATTATAATATCTCTAAGAGTCCTAATAAAATGTATCTTCTACCATCCTATGGCACTCGGGGGTATATCTGATGAGGACATGCCACCGGTTACTCAAGTTTCACATAAGTATGAAGGTCCAATTACGCGTAGTCGTGCAAAACTACTCTAAAAAGAGGTGAACTCACTCCTAGCTGAAATTAGCTTTGACATATTTGAGAATGTTATACTACATAAGTGTTCTACTTTGGTTGTACGTAGGCATACAAATAAAGAGGAGGATGTTACTCTACATCGGACCAACACAGAGAAAAATGGACCATCAATTTGGACCAGCACAGTGAAAAACGGACCATCAGAAACATTCATAACTCTTGATTCCGTGAAGCTTTGGAGGCCCATGAAAACATTTTGGAAATCTTATCAAGTCTACTTTCAAATGGCGCAAGTTCCAAGTATTTTGGACTTCCCAATGTTGAGATATGAGCAGATTAGTGAAGACTGCTCAGAAGGTCAACAGTCTTCCTGGGACAGAATGTTGGGTCAACTTCCTGTGCAAAACTGTATCAATCTATAAATTTTCTTGGTGCATGTTGCACATCGCTGGAAAGCTCTTCGAGTCTACTTTCACACCCCCAACAAACGGTTCGTCATTTAGACTTTCCAGTAAGGAGTAACGGCCAGATTAGTGGAGACTGCTCACGAGGCCAACAGTTACGCGAGACCACTTCGGAAATCCATCTTGTGCTGACCTTTCACATAGCCTATCTTCAAAAACTCCATTCTATTTTCACAGCCAACTAGGAGGGTTGTTCCTAGTATAAATATCCCCTACCTCTAAGCTATTAGGGACCTTTTGATGAATTGATAAACTACATGATATTGCAGCCGAGCTGTCGAGTGTCTTACTCAAACCTTTGTTCTTCCTTGTTCTTCTTGGACTTGTTAAGTGATCTCTCTGGGCTCCCCAAGTTCGTGCTCTACGGTTTCTAGTAAGGTTGCACCGTTTTGTGTGGATTAGTTCCAGATTGTGGTTCTGCGGTCGTTCAGAGATCGGGTCAAAGTCTTCACGATTTCGGTGCCTCTCTCCCCGTTGCTTGGTCGCATCCGACCTTTGTCAGGTGTAAAGCTAGTTATCCCGCTGTTCGCAACAAGTTATCTTTGATTCGTGACCTACTGTCGTGAAGATCGAGCCATCCCCTTGCTAATTCATATCGGTACTTATCATCTAGTATCAAAGCTTTCGTTGTCACGGTAGGTCTCACCATCATCCACATATTTACCCTTGATTTATCCATCATTTGTTACTGTTTTTGTTCATCTCCTAAGGTCCACTGAAAAAGCTAAAAAAATCCTATAGCCTTTTAGCGGTACTGCTATCTTTATGTTGTTGTGTTCATCAAGTTGCTAGTCACCATCTTCATATATATTGCATTGTGTTTCATTTGTTATCCGTACCCCTGTTAGTAAAAAAATCTAAAAAAAGTGAAGAAAGAAGAAAGAAAGATTCAAAAAAGAGAAGTGAAAAGAATTGAAAAGTAAGGGCTGTGTTGCGGGTTGTATAACTACAAATTTCAGTTTACATATTCAAGTTGGTGGTAATCTAAATAGCAGCAACTTCATATCTTTTGAACACATCCAACCACTTGGTTTGTAGTACCATAGCCTCCCTTGATTAGTCACCTATAGCTCCACCAAAATCTAAAACTGGGATGTTCGACTCATAATCCTTGCGACCTCTCAATCATATATGTTGAACTGTTGCACTAGCACGCTCACTATCCTTGAGAACATGAAAGAGCATTGGTAAGTAAGAGGTGAGATTGTGTGATTCCACAAATTTACCTATTCCACTTTCCTTGCATGAATGCTAACAAGGCAGGATCTAATTCGAGTGTTCATGGTGGTCGATATAGAGAAAGAGAACCACCAATCTCGCAGGCTGAGTTTCGCCAACTACAAAACTCACTGGTGGAGGCAATGGAGTGGATGTTCGACGAACATTTTCCTGCAAGAGGCCATCGGGCTCCACAACAACATAGCCCGACCAACTCTCGTGGTGGTCCCTTTGGCCATAGTGGACATCATGAGGGAAGTGCTCGTGGGCGTAGTTTTCACCCCTGTGTGCTTATTGATGATGAAGATTATTGTGTGTCCACCAAAAGAAAATTTCAGCAAGAGACACGTGAAAGGTCCTATGGACAGCAAAACCCATGTGAGAAAGAGTGCCACCAACCAAAATTGAGTGCGAGAGTTCAAAATGAAAAGATAAGAGATTCCACCATATGTGAGAAAGAGTGCCACCAACCAAAATTGAGTGTGACAGTTCAAAATAAAAAGATGAGAGATTCCACCATATATGAGGAGGAGAGCCACAAAATTTTGTGTGAGAGAGATACACAAAAATTAAGCCAAAAAAATGATGAATCATGTGAGGAATTATTTATTGCTAACATGAAGATACCTTCTTCTAGTCTTGTTCCTTGTGTGATGCAGGCTCATGAAGAAAATGACGTGGTGAATTATGAACAGCCCCCAATATTCGATGAGGAAGATCAAGTGATGGCCATGGATAGCGATACGTATGCATATGTTGCTTCACAAGATGTTGAAGTGATTGTGCATCAAAACCTATGCAAGAATGAGAGCCACAGAGCCAAACTGAGAGAGAGTGAAAACAAAAGAGAGTTGTGTGATTCCACCCACTGTGACGTTGAGAGTATCAACAATTCGAGTGTGAGGGATACACCACAGAGAGATAGAGAGTTAGAATGCAAGTCATGTGAGGATATTTTTAAAACAAACACTCTCATCTCTACTTCTAGTGTTGTTTTTCCAAATGTGCAGGTTTGTAATGAGAATAAGGAAGAGATGGCTGCTCATGACAACTCCATACTTGTTGAGAAAAGTGAGAAGGTAGCCATTCACCCGAACCAATTTTGTGTTGCCCAAAACATGAACCATGACGAGGAAAGTGGTAAGATTTCAGAAGCGTCATCCATGATACTTGCACTACCACAAAGTATAAAAGGTAATGAAAATAATTCAAATCTGAATTTTCGACACATGATGGTCAGTACTTGTGGTCTTACTATTTCAGCGATAGAACATAATCAAAACCTATGTGCTAATTTGATTTAAGCTCATGTTGATACAAGTGTTGAATTTGATTTTGATGAGAGTCTTTGTGCTTTGAATGATCCTTGCAACACTTCATATAACGACAAACTTCACCTTGTTCAGTTGGTTACATGTGCTGAATTGTTCGCAAGGATATCTCCTATTGGATGTTTGTGTTATACTATGCTTAACATGCCTACCAATATTTATAAAATGCTTGAGAAAATTTCTGTGATAACATCTTTGAGTTCTTTGAATATTGCTCATAGCTGCAAGTTTACATTTGTTTTGATTGGAGAACATGTTGTAGATACCTTCCATGTTCATGCAATTTGTGTAACATATGACAAGCTTGCTGACTTAGAGTCAAAAATGTTGAGTGAAAAACAAAGTGATAAATCTTTTGAAATGCAACAATTGCTTGGTGCTTGTGATTTCGAACAATTAATGGTGTCACCATGTTCATACCATCCACCAAAAGACAGAAATCATGTGCAAAGCAATGCCCGTACACACAAAAGTTGCTCATCCACATACTAGAGCATTGAGTTTGAAAGGTATACTTCTAAACCCATGAATAAATTGTGCCACAATAATTTTTGGAATGCCATGAATGCTCAACATCCATTTGATGAAAAGCTTGATCTTGCAAAGATGAAATATGATAACATGAATCAAATGATTGGGTTGGAAGAAATTTTTGTGCTCTCATCTTCGAAGCTATTTGCAGGTTCACCAAAGTTGAGAGAATGTTTCTTACTAGGAAAAGGAAATAATATGAATAAGAATTATAAAGAAGCAAATGGACAAAATGAAATAAAAGATTATTGGAATTATCATGTATATCCACCCTCTGTTTTGTCTAGGCTGTTTTTAGGTAAACAAAAGTCAGGGACCACTTTGCTTAAAGGGAGGGAGGATGATGAGACCATGCCAAGGAAATTAACATTCACCATTAGTTCTAAGCATCCATTCAATTCAAGGTGAAAGCTAAACTTGATTTCAAACCCATTTGGTTTCCACCTACAAGGCTGCTACTTGGTTTATATGATTATAGATTAAAGCACCTTGCTGTGATGGAAGAAGATCGTGAAGTTATCACAACACTACAAGTCGATGGCCTAGCACAATTCTTTGGAACACAAGAGTCAGAGTCGAGGATGACTCCTTTTCAAGAGGGGGAGGATGATGAGGATATGCCACCGGTTACTCAAGTTTCACATAAGTATGAAGGTCCAATTACACGTAGTCATGCAAAACTACTCAAAAAGAGGTGAACTCACTCCTAGCCGAAATTAACTTTGACATATTTGAGAATGTTATACTACATAAGTGTTCTACTTTGGTTGTACGTAGGCATACAAATAAAGAGGAGGATGTTACTCTACATCGGACCAACACAGAGAAAAATGGACCATCAATTTGGACCAGCACAGTGAAAAACGGACCATCAGAAACATTCATAACTCTTGATTCCGTGAAGCTTTGGAGGCCCATGAAAACATTTTGGAAATCTTATCAAGTCTACTTTCAAATGGCGCAAGTTCCAAGTATTTTGGACTTCCCAATGTTGAGATATGAGCAGATTAGTGAAGACTGCTCAGAAGGTCAACAGTCTTCCTGGGACAGAATGTTGGGTCAACTTCCTGTGCAAAACTGTATCAATCTATAAATTTTCTTGGTGCATGTTGCACATCGCTGGAAAGCTCTTCGAGTCTACTTTCACACCCCCAACAAACGGTTCGTCATTTAGACTTTCCAGTAAGGAGTAACGGCCAGATTAGTGGAGACTGCTCACGAGGCCAACAGTTACGCGAGACCACTTCGGAAATCCATCTTGTGCTGACCTTTCACATAGCCTATCTTCAAAAACTCCATTCTATTTTCACAGCCAACTAGGAGGGTTGTTCCTAGTATAAATATCCCCTACCTCTAAGCTATTAGGGACCTTTTGATGAATTGATAAACTACATGATATTGCAGCCGAGCTGTCGAGTGTCTTACTCAAACCTTTGTTCTTCCTTGTTCTTCTTGGACTTGTTAAGTGATCTCTCTGGGCTCCCCAAGTTCGTGCTCTACGGTTTCTAGTAAGGTTGCACCGTTTTGTGTGGATTAGTTCCAGATTGTGGTTCTGCGGTCGTTCAGAGATCGGGTCAAAGTCTTCACGATTTCGGTGCCTCTCTCCCCGTTGCTTGGTCGCATCCGACCTTTGTCAGGTGTAAAGCTAGTTATCCCGCTGTTCGCAACAAGTTATCTTTGATTCGTGACCTACTGTCGTGAAGATCGAGCCATCCCCTTGCTAATTCATATCGGTACTTATCATCTAGTATCAAAGCTTTCGTTGTCACGGTAGGTCTCACCATCATCCACATATTTACCCTTGATTTATCCATCATTTGTTACTGTTTTTGTTCATCTCCTAAGGTCCACTGAAAAAGCTAAAAAAATCCTATAGCCTTTTAGCGGTACTGCTATCTTTATGTTGTTGTGTTCATCAAGTTGCTAGTCACCATCTTCATATATATTGCATTGTGTTTCATTTGTTATCCGTACCCCTGTTAGTAAAAAAATCTAAAAAAAGTGAAGAAAGAAGAAAGAAAGATTCAAAAAAGAGAAGTGAAAAGAATTGAAAAGTAAGGGCTGTGTTGCGGGTTGTATAACTACAAATTTCAGTTTACATATTCAAGTTGGTGGTAATCTAAATAGCAGCAACTTCATATCTTTTGAACACATCCAACCACTTGGTTTGTAGTACCATAGCCTCCCTTGATTAGTCACCTATAGCTCCACCAAAATCTAAAACTGGGATGTTCGACTCATAATCCTTGCGACCTCTCAATCATATATGTTGAACTGTTGCACTAGCACGCTCACTATCCTTGAGAACATGAAAGAGCATTGGTAAGTAAGAGGTGAGATTGTGTGATTCCACAAATTTACCTATTCCACTTTCCTTGCATGAATGCTAACAAGGCAGGATCTAATTCGAGTGTTCATGGTGGTCGATATAGAGAAAGAGAACCACCAATCTCGCAGGCTGAGTTTCGCCAACTACAAAACTCACTGGTGGAGGCAATGGAGTGGATGTTCGACGAACATTTTCCTGCAAGAGGCCATCGGGCTCCACAACAACATAGCCCGACCAACTCTCGTGATGGTCCCTTTGGCCATAGTGGACATCATGAGGGAAGTGCTCGTGGGCATAGTTTTCACCCCTGTGTGCTTATTGATGATGAAGATTATTGTGTGTCCACCAAAAGAAAATTTCAGCAAGAGACACGTGAAAGGTCCTATGGACAGCAAAACCCATGTGAGAAAGAGTGCCACCAACCAAAATTGAGTGCGAGAGTTCAAAATGAAAAGATAAGAGATTCCACCATATGTGAGAAAGAGTGCCACCAACCAAAATTGAGTGTGACAGTTCAAAATAAAAAGATGAGAGATTCCACCATATATGAGGAGGAGAGCCACAAAATTTTGTGTGAGAGAGATACACAAAAATTAAGCCAAAAAAATGATGAATCATGTGAGGAATTATTTATTGCTAACATGAAGATACCTTCTTCTAGTCTTGTTCCTTGTGTGATGCAGGCTCATGAAGAAAATGACGTGGTGAATTATGAACAGCCCCCAATATTCGATGAGGAAGATCAAGTGATGGCCATGGATAGCGATACGTATGCATATGTTGCTTCACAAGATGTTGAAGTGATTGTGCATCAAAACCTATGCAAGAATGAGAGCCACAGAGCCAAACTGAGAGAAAGTGAAAACAAAAGAGAGTTGTGTGATTCCACCCACTGTGACGTTGAGAGTATCAACAATTCGAGTGTGAGGGATACACCACAGAGAGATAGAGAGTTAGAATGCAAGTCATGTGAGGATATTTTTAAAACAAACACTCTCATCTCTACTTCTAGTGTTGTTTTTCCAAATGTGCAGGTTTGTAATGAGAATAAGGAAGAGATGGCTGCTCATGACAACTCCATACTTGTTGAGAAAAGTGAGAAGGTAGCCATTCACCCGAACCAATTTTGTGTTGCCCAAAACATGAACCATGACGAGGAAAGTGGTAAGATTTCAGAAGCGTCATCCATGATACTTGCACTACCACAAAGTATAAAAGGTAATGAAAATAATTCAAATCTGAATTTTCGACACATGATGGTCAGTACTTGTGGTCTTACTATTTCAGCGATAGAACATAATCAAAACCTATGTGCTAATTTGATTTAAGCTCATGTTGATACAAGTGTTGAATTTGATTTTGATGAGAGTCTTTGTGCTTTGAATGATCCTTGCAACACTTCATATAACGACAAACTTCACCTTGTTCAGTTGGTTACATGTGTTGAATTGTTCGCAAGGATATCTCCTATTGGATGTTTGTGTTATACTATGCTTAACATGCCTACCAATATTTATAAAATGCTTGAGAAAATTTCTGTGATAACATCTTTGAGTTCTTTGAATATTGCTCATAGCTGCAAGTTTACATTTGTTTTGATTGGAGAACATGTTGTAGATACCTTCCATGTTCATGCAATTTGTGTAACATATGACAAGCTTGCTGACTTAGAGTCAAAAATGTTGAGTGAAAAACAAAGTGATAAATCTTTTGAAATGCAACAATTGCTTGGTGCTTGTGATTTCGAACAATTAATGGTGTCACCATGTTCATACCATCCACCAAAAGACAGAAATCATGTGCAAAGCAATGCCCGTACACACAAAAGTTGCTCATCCACATACTAGAGCATTGAGTTTGAAAGGTATACTTCTAAACCCATGAATAAATTGTGCCACAATAATTTTTGGAATGCCATGAATGCTCAACATCCATTTGATGAAAAGCTTGATCTTGCAAAGATGAAATATGATAACATGAATCAAATGATTGGGTTGGAAGAAATTTTTGTGCTCTCATCTTCGAAGCTATTTGCAGGTTCACCAAAGTTGAGAGAATGTTTCTTACTAGGAAAAGGAAATAATATGAATAAGAATTATAAAGAAGCAAATGGACAAAATGAAATAAAAGATTATTGGAATTATCATGTATATCCACCCTCTGTTTTGTCTAGGCTGTTTTTAGGTAAACAAAAGTCAGGGACCACTTTGCTTAAAGGGAGGGAGGATGATGAGACCATGCCAAGGAAATTAACATTCACCATTAGTTCTAAGCATCCATTCAATTCAAGGTGAAAGCTAAACTTGATTTCAAACCCATTTGGTTTCCACCTACAAGGCTGCTACTTGGTTTATATGATTATAGATTAAAGCACCTTGCTGTGATGGAAGAAGATCTTGAAGTTATCACAACACTACAAGTCGATGGCCTAGCACAATTCTTTGGAACACAAGAGTCAGAGTCGAGGATGACTCCTTTTCAAGAGGGGGAGGATGATGAGGATATGCCACCGGTTACTCAAGTTTCACATAAGTATGAAGGTCCAATTACACGTAGTCATGCAAAACTACTCAAAAAGAGGTGAACTCACTCCTAGCCGAAATTAACTTTGACATATTTGAGAATGTTATACTACCTAAGTGTTCTACTTTGGTTGTACTTAGGCATACAAATAAAAAGGAGGATATTACTCTACATCGGACCAGTACTGAGAAAAACGGACCATCAGTTCGGACCAGCACAGTGAAAAATGAACCACCAGATCGGACCGGTATAGTGAAAAACGGATCAGCTGAAAGAAACATTCCTAACTCTCGATTCCGTGAAGCTTTGGAGGCCCATGAGGACATTTTGGAAATCTTATCAAGTCTACTTTCCAATGGCGCAAGTTTCAAGTATTTTGGACTTCCCAATGTTGAGATATGAGCAGATTAGTGAAGACTGCTCAGAAGGTCAACAGTCTTCCTGGGACAGAATGTTGGGTCAACTTCTTGTGCAAAATTGTACCAATCTACAAAGTTTCTTGGTACATGCTGCACATGGTTGGAAAGCTCTTCGAGTCTACTTTCACACCCAATAACAGTTCATCATTTGGACTTCCCAATAATGAGTAATGGCCAGATTAGTGGAGACTGCTCAAGAGGCCAACAGTTACGCGAGACCAATTCGGGAATCCATCTCGTGGTGACCTTTCACATAGCTTATCTTCAGAAACTCCATTTTGTTTTCACACCCAACTAGGAGGGTTGTTCCTAATATAAATATTCTCTACCTCTAAGCTATTAGGGACCTTTTGATGAATTGATAAACTACATGATATTACAGCCGAGCTGCTGAGTGTCTTACTCAAACCTTTGTTCTTCCTTGTTCTTCTTGGACTTGTGAAGTGATTCCTCTGGGTTCCCCTAGTTCGTGCTCTACGGTTTCTATAACGGCTACACCGTTTTGTGTGGATTAGTTCCGGATTGTGGTTCTGCGGTCGTTCGGAGATCGAGTTGAAGTCTTCGCGGTTTCGGTGCCTCTCTCCCCGTCGCTTGGTCGCATCCAACCGTTATCAGGTATAAAGCTAGTTATCCTGCTGTTCGCAGCAAGTTATCTTTGATTCGTGACCTACTGTCATGAAGATCGGGCCATCCCCTTGTCAATTCATATCGGTACTTATCAATATCCCCCACAATAGTTGCCCTTTTTATACTAAAACATCACCCAACCTACCATTGTGCTACTCATATCTAATGCCTCTGCTGCTATTCGGCCCGTCAGCGCCTCAACATCTGTTGCCGTCTCAAGCTAGCTTTATCAAACAAACTCTTCTCTTAATATTGTCATTAAATAATAGATTGATATTACTAGATTGCTTAAATAATTGGCAAAACGTATGGGCCAACACGACATGTTCTAGAAACCTAGCACTACACACGCTGTCAAGGGAAAAAATTGCTCAAGGAGAATACTTGTATAATATGTAATTGTTTCTATTTAAGAGAGGCAAAATGAAGTGTCTAGTCTAAGGGTCTGTTTAGAATTATTAACAACTAATAGTTAACAGGCTAATAGTTTCTAGCCATTAGGTGGTGAATTGATTGGACTGACTATATTGCTCGTCTCTTTCATAAGCATCTGACATTTTGACCCTCCCCTCCCTCCCTTCTCACATATCCAAATCCAACATCGTACTCACCTTCGCTGACATCGTCTCTCCTCTTCCTCTTCCTCCTCCTCCTCCTAGGCCGTTGCTGCTCTTCCATACAAACCATTGTGTCACAACTACAGCTTGCGAGGAAGGCACCAGTGGTGCAAGTGGCCGGGTGAATGCTAATAGGAGTGGACAAGGTGGATAGGACCAAGGGCAAAAACATTTTTTTCGTGAACTATTAGTTGTTGTTAGCTTGATTAAAACAGCTAAATGAAAAAAAAACACTAGTTGGATATCCAGCTAATAGTTAGTCAGCCTGATCGGGAGGCCGTAAACGATCGTGGATTATTTATTGCTGGCTGGTTTGGTGTGAGAGAAAAACATTGTTCCGACTGGAAATTTACGATCGTTTACGACCAAGCGAACAGGCTGAGTGTTTATTAGCTAAGCTCATTTGGATGCATCCTCGCTAATTTTAGCAGCTAACTATTAGTTAGGTGGATCCAATTAAGACCTAAGTGCAACGGCAGAGAAGACATCCACTATCAAGGTTGGATTTGGAGCAATATTAAAAATTAGCAGCTAACTATTAGTTAGGTGGGTCCAATCAATCAAGACCTAAAAGTGCAACAAATTCTACAATTATACCGCTATATATTCTTCAAATTCTACAACTATAGCATATAGCGCATGCGCGGTATACATAGGCCCCGTTCGCGTGTCCTTAAACCCGGCTTGATCCGCTTATTTTTTTCATCCGGAACAGTGTTTTTCTCTCACAAATTCCTCCAGCATTCCTCCAAACCATCCAAATTCCTCCAGAATTCAGACAAACGAATAGGCCCATACTCCCTTTGACCCAAAAAGTATTGCATAGGGTTCCGTGGAAGTCAAACTTTTGAGTTTGACTAGATTTACAAAAAATTTAACAGCATTTGTCTCTCTAAATAAGTTTATTATTAAAAATATATTCATTTAATTAATGTAATGATATTGATTATGCATCATAAATATTAATAATCTCTTTATATATTTGGTTAAATCTGAAATTATTTAATTTCTCATGAATTAAGAATAACACTCTTTATTAGGGTATACGAAGTGAGTACGTACATCGGTTGATGCGCACGTGCACGATCTGTCCATGATTTTAGACTTGGGAGATTAAGGTCCTTTGCATCATCTGCCAATCTATCTGTATGTCCGTCTATCTATCTTCTATCTATATTGTGAAACTAAAAAATAAAAATCAAGGACCTATAGATTTATTACTAAGGAATGGGAATTCCTATATATTTATTTACCTACACCCATCACGTATCACCCCGCTCGCTGCCACTTGGGTCCCATGCGCCATATAGCTGGGTCCCTCCCGCTGCCAATTGGGCCTCATGCATGCCCACCCCCACACGCATGGCCTTTGGCCTGGCCTGCCATCTTCTATATATGCAGCCTCAGCCCTCAGCTCGGCCACTGCAGTCTCCATTCTCCAAAGCGAAGCAACCCCCGAGCCTGCAACGCCCTCCACACTCACTCCACAGGCATGGTCGTCATGGGCAAGGAGCACCAGCAGCACGAGGAGGAGGGAAAGGTCGTCCAAGAAGAAGTACAAGTCGTCCAGGAGACGGTGCCGCCGGAGGAGGACAAGGAGGCCGAGGCGGCGCTGGTGCACAAAATCTCCGGCCTGGCCGCCGCCATCGGGAAGCTCCCGTCCCTGAGCCCGTCGCCGGAGGTGAACGCGCTCTTCACCGAACTCGTGACGGCGTGCATCCCTCGCAGCACCGTCGACGTGGAGCGCCTGGGCCCCGAGCTGCAGGAGATGCGCGGGCGCCTGATCCGCCTCTGCGCCGACGCGGAGGGCCTGCTGGAGGTGCACTACTCCGACCTGCTGGCCACCTTCGACAACCCGCTGGAGCATCTGTCGCTGTTCCCCTACTTCAACAACTACATCCTGCTGAGCCAGCTGGAGCACGGCCTGCTGGCGCGCCACGTGCCGGGGCCGGCGCCGTCCCGCGTCGCCTTCGTCGGCTCCGGCCCGCTCCCGCTGAGCTCCCTGGTGCTCGCCGTGCGCCACCTCCCGGGCGCCTCGTTCGACAACTACGACATCTGCGGGGACGCCAACGAGCGGGCGCGTCGCCTGGTGCGCGGCGACGGCGGGCTCCAGGCGCGCATGGCGTTCCGCACCTCCGACGTGGCGGACGTGACCCGGGACCTGGCCTCCTACGACGCCGTGTTCCTGGCGGCGCTGGTGGGCATGGCCGCCGAGGAGAAGGCCCGAGTGGTGGAACACCTCGGGAGGCACATGGCCCCCGGCGCAGCGCTGGTGGTGCGGAGCGCGCACGGCGCGCGCGGGTTCCTGTACCCCGTGGTGGACCCCGAGGAGATCCGGCGCGGCGGATTCGACGTGCTCGCCGTGCACCACCCGGAGGGGGAGGTGATCAACTCCGTCATCATCGCGCGCAAGCCCGTCGCCGTGGACGCGCACGCCGCCGGTGGGGTGGGAGTAGCCGAACTGGGACACGCGCACGCGCACGGCGCCGTGCTCAGCCGGCCCTGCCTCTGCTGCGAGATTGAAGCCCGGGCGCACCAGAAGATGGAGGAGGTGGCCATGGAGCAGCTGCCGTCCTAGGCACGCGCACGCCGTCGTGCTTGCTTTCTTGTTCGATTGCCCCACCGCCGGCCGGGCGCCCATTTGATTTCGTAGATGCATCAACATCATCCATCTATCTGGTCGATCTATAGCATCGATCCCCTACATCTACATCCACATGCATGGTAATAATCTGCAGGTTGACCGCATGCATATATCATGTCTCATCCCCCATCTCTTGCATGGTAATTACTAGCTCTAGCTGGTGTATTAATTAATTTGTCTGCTACTGTTATGACCTGAGTATGTGTGGAGATGAGTCATGGAGTGGTTAATTTTTATTAGTAAACTCTCGATGCTTAAATTTGTCAGTCTGACTCCTGTATGCATGTATGCAGCAGGTTAATATAATAATATAAGCCATAACAATTCCATCTCTTGTTGTTCTTGTTATTACTATGGGAATAGTGTTATTATAGCACTCGCTCCGTTCTAAATTATGAGTGGCTTTGACTTTTTTTTTTGACATATTTATTTTACTGTGTATCTAGATATAACATATGTCTAGATACATAGCAAATTTTATGTACCAAAAAAATCAAAACAACATATAATTTGGAACGCAGAGAGTACATGCATGAATACAAGCCACTCCATTGTTTGTTTTGACGCGGTATATGTTATATGCATCGTGGTTGTTGTTTTTTGTCCGGTAAATGCTTTGTTTCGAGGCTGCGTTGCTTTCTACATCCTGTAAATCTGATGATTTGTCATTTGTCATGTTAGGCTATCTGTTTGGATCCATAAAGCTAATAGATGGCTATACTAATAATTTTAGCTCTTTAAGAGCATCTCCAGTTGTTTGGTAAAATAACTCTCTATCTTTATTTTTTTTAGCAAAAAGAAGAAAATCACCTCCAATAGTTTAGTAAAAGAGCTTCTTAAAAACAAAAAATTGTCAAATATCTCTCAAACTCATAAGTTTCCAAAGCTGAGAGAAACTCCCTATCCGCTCATCCGACATTTTCCTCAAGAGATCAGAGTAAATTGGACGCATGAGTAAATAAAAAAAATAAAGCATTCTAGGTGAGAAAGCGATGAGAGACAAAGAAACTATTAAAAACAAGGCTTGGTTGGTTAGAAATAATATAGGTTCCCAATGCAAAAACTTTTAAAGTTAGTATAGGAAACTGCTAGAGAGGAAAGTAAATAATTGAGGTTGCTACTTATTTTATTAACTCGCTAAACTTATTGATTTAGCAAGTTAATTATAGAAAACACATGGAGTTCCTTGCTCTTAGATTCAAACGGGTCCAATTAATTGTTAGCTAATACTACTTAAGGAACAACTATCTCACTAGTTAGGTCAAACCAGCTAGCTAATAGCAGCAGCTAATGAATCTAAGGTCATGTTTGGATCCCAATAGATAATAGCTATATGCTAATAGTTATCTCTTTTTGAATTCAAACATGTGCAGCTAATGAAATAGCTAATTGTTAGTTGGACCTCTAGATAATAACTATCTCACTAGTTGAACAAAATCAAATAATAGCAGCTAATAGTTATCTTAGTAGCATTTTCTATTAGCTGTGCATCCAAACACCCTTCGGCTAATAGTTAGCTAGCTAATATTAGATAAGAAATATTAGAAGATAATGAATCCAACGGGACTTAAAGAGGGTCGTCACAATAGGGGTAGTAGTACCTTGCAATCTCAATTATCGCCAAGCATTAATTCCCAAATAATTGGACTACTAGAAATGTGTGCCGGACACTTGCACTGCATGGAGATGCCAGCTATTGAAAATTGGTTCAAGAGAAGACACGGGCAATATTCTGTGAGGCATCCTCAGACCCTGAGGGATGAAATAGTCTGTCTGGGAAAAGTCTCCTACTACTTGCACCTGCACGTCTTTTTACCTAAACTTACTGTTTGCCTAAACTGCCGTTTAGCCCGTTTACACACCATTTAAACGTTACACGGTGGTACATCGTTTCCGTTTAATCGGTTGTTTTCACTATTTAAACGGCCATTTTTCTTGTTTAAACACCTGTTTTGCCCGAATAATGGGCTAAACGGTAGGTGAGCAACTGTTTACCGTTTATCGTTTAGGATAACACTGCCTAAACCCAACAAAATTGAAATTTAGAAAATCAGAAACGTATCGGTAAAGAATGGATAATTAGGAAAAGTCTGTCTACTACACAACTATGTGTTTTATACAGTTTCAACACATAAATTTTTTTACACCATACGCTTAATATCCAACAACCTTCACCCTTCTCCTACCTCCATCTTCCACAAATCACAGATCACAGATTATATTTTTTTCTATGGAAGGACAAATCACAGATCTGCCGCCGCCACCGCCATGACCGCCGCGGGCGCGGGCGCCGGGGCGAGCTCGCCGGTCGCCATCGCCAGCGCCGGTGGTCACTGGTGAGAAAGAGAGAGGGAGAGAGATAAAAAAATCCATGTGCTTTTTTTTTCTAAAACACATGTGTTTTGTATAGCGTTTCTGATTAGGAAACTACGTAACTAAGATTTCAAATATTCAAGCTCCCACAGGCCACAAGAGAATACTACTAAGACAATCTTTTATATCTATACTAGGTAGCGTGCCCGTGCGTTGCTACGGGATAACTAACAATTTATACTAAAAACACATGGATCGCACGATAAGATAACAATATTGTTAAATTAAATACCAATGTTAAAGTGACATTTAATTCAAAAAGCAAAGTTTATGGATTTAACACAGTCACGGAGTGCGCGGCGTCGCAGGCTCATAAACTCTAGAGCTTCCAGTGGTTGGGTCGAATCCAACCTAGAGCCTCGGGACCCTACATCTTTTCCTGGACGGGCTTCACTTCGGATGCGCCGGTAGCAATATCAACGATCTCCAGTCGATGGGCCAAGTCATATGGATCCCCATACAATGGCTCAGACATGTAGATTTTGTTCTCCTTGTACTTGATACACTTGTTCCATTGAAGCTTTCATTGAAATGTTTAGACATGAATAGTGTCTGATCACCGGTGTCCCTCACCCTGGACCACTCTGGCGTACAGTCGTGGAGGTTGCACTTATAGATCGCGCCGTTGTAGGTGAAGCTCTGTGTCTCGTGGAACGTGCTCCCCATGACACCTACAATGTGTAGCTCACTGTTTGATTCCAGGTAGCTGCGGTGGCAGAGCCCCGCAGGTAGCGACAGCGATGGCAGCAGCGTCGCGGTTGGAGTAGCGCCGGCGACGTTGCTGCTGCAGACAGAGATTTCTCTAGTGCAGTCGATCGCCAAGAACTTGTCTTGACAGTGGACGATGGACCCCACGAAGAACTCCAGTTTGGTGTCGAACAGCGTCCATACGCTGTCGACTCCAACCCGGCAGAACGCGACCTCCGTGGAGCACCCAAGCATGGCCATGGCCACGTACTCGCGGCCGGCGGCGTCGGGCGGCGCCGAGAGCACGATCTCACGGAAGAACACGTCCCTAATGTCTTCTAGCTTGATGGCTCTGCCTGCGGCATCCGCGTCCCCGAAGCCGTTGTGGGATGGAGGACCCACCGGCCGTGGACCCTAGACACGTGTTCCGATGAGGACGCCGCCACGACGTGTTCGCCTGCTGGCGGGAGCTCAACGCGGGGGGCACGGGCAGGCGAATGGATCCAGCAGCGTCACGGACGTCGCCTCGTCCATGGGCGCCAGCCACCCACACGAGGAGCCGCACGCCACCTTGCCGCGCACGTCGAACGGCGTCTTGGACAAGACCTTCTTCTCCGGGACGCAGTAGAAGCCGACACGGTTTGAGTCGGGGTCGAACGGGAGCAGCAGGAGCGGTCCGAAGGTCGCGAACGGGACGGCGGCGCGCCATGGGGAGCAAGTGGATCGGAAGGACGTCGCGTCGTGGCCTGACACGAGATGCTGCCCGATGAACTCAAGGAGATCCTCTGGTAGGCCGGATCTCCAATCAGAGAGAGGTAGGGACCTTCTCCTGAGATTGGAAGGCTGAGCCATGGAAGACAGATGACATCAACTATGGTTCACGCAAGAAACAACAAGCGAGGGCGATGGAACACGTGAGCGTGAAACCAAATGAAAGGAGAAAAAAGTTGTCCCTTTTGTAAATGTAAAGAGGGAAAGTAATTAAATATAGACAAATTTGACAAGGTTCTCAAAATGCAAAGAGGTTCCTTTTATCTTAATTATTTTTCCTTCTGTGTTAATTCTCTTTCCTTTTGCTCGTTGTCATGTATGCTGGTGCATGCAAACATGCAATGTGTATATAGATAGCACAATAATTTTCTACTTCCTATTTTACCGTGATTCCTCTATCACATGACAGGCAATATTGAATCAAGGAGAATGGCACGATCAATCAGTAATTAAGATGTTGTGGGATCGCTGGCGTGGACAGACGGATGAACCAAAACAAATGTCGCACAAAAAAATATACACACTTTGTTCTTTTTAGTTGTAGGAGATAAATCCTAGCCTCGCTACTAGATTTCTCCATAATTCGTGAAGGGCCCCACTAAGTCAATAATATGTTCTTACAATTAAGTTCGATCACAATAGCAGCTACATTTACTATGTATCTCAAATCATGACAAAAATGATAAATGACAATGAAATGTTTTCATCTTGTTTATTACTCCCGGCCCATAGACGTACTCCCATAAAAGGTATTGGTTTATTCTTTTAGAGGAATCTATTATTTATTTTTTTTAGGAAAATTGCATTTTGTACGTTTATGTTCATTTTGACGACAAATTAAAGGCAATGGAGAAAAAAACAATTGATGAACGCCTGCAAGGCTGCAAGCCATACGGCCGGCGCACTACTTTCCTAGTGGGCCGAACAGAGCATTGCTCTAGTTGGGTTAGAACAAATGACGATGGGCTTGTTTGTTTGTTGAGCCTAAAGGCACAAATCCCATTTTTATGGCTGAATAACATGTAGCCAAGGAAATGACTAAAAACACTTTCTTCCATATTGTGTGACAGTAGTAAAGATTGGTCCAACTTAAGCAATTATCA